AGCAGCAGCAACAGCAGCAGCAGCAGCAGCAGCAGCAGCAACAGCAGCAGCAGCAGCAGCAGCAGCAAGAGCAGCTGCAGCAGCAGCAGCAGCATGTGCTATTTACTTTTAAACTCTAATAAATAACATATTCTGCTGATGCTGCTGCAACAGCACCAGGTACAAGCAGCAGCAGAAGCAGCAGCAGCAGCAGAAGCAGCAGCAGCAGCAGCAGCCGCAGCAGAAGCAGCAGCAGCAGCAGAAGCAGCAGCAGCAGCAGAAGCAGCAGCAGCAGCAGCATCACACGAAGCCCACATGGTGTCTCTGACAAGGCAGTAGCAACGCGCCTCAGCGACACCCTTTGCTGCTGCTGCGGCAACAGCAGCAGCAGCAGCAGCAGCAGCAGCAGCAGCTGCTGCTGCTGCTGCTGCTACACCGATACCGAGTAATGCACTAGCTGCAGCAGCAGCAACACGTCCATTGCTGTTGCTGCAGCAGCAGCAACAGAGAATGCTGCAGTAGCAGCAACAGCAGCAGCAGATGATGCAGCAACAGCAGCAGCAGCAGCAGCAGCAGCAGCAGCAAGTTTTTTTGCTGAGGCTGAGCCTTTGAAATATATGTTTGACCATCAACCGCAATATATTTTCAATCAATGCAGCAACACAATTTCTGCTGTTGGGGCTGTGCATGCATGCATGCTCAGTATGCATGCATGCATGCATGCATGTACTGTATGTATGCATGCACTGCATGCATGCATGCATGCACAGTGTGCATGCATGCATACACCGCCCCAATGCATGCATGCATACTCAGTATGCATGCATGCTCAGTATGCATGCATGCACAGTATGCATGCAAGCACAGTATGCATGCAAGCATGCACAGCCCCAATGCATGCATGCAGTGTATGTATGCATGCACTGCATGCATGCATGCATGCATGCAGAGAGGAGAGAGATTGCGTTAGGAGACAGATAGAGGAGACAGATAGAAGAGACAGAAAGGAGACAGGTTGTTGCTGCTGCTGCTGTTGCTGCTGCTGCTGTTGCTGCTGTTGCTGCTGCTGCTGCTGCTGCTGCTGTTGCTGCTGCTGCTGCTGTT